CCTGATGGTCTAGTGGCTAGGATTCGGCGCTCTCACCGCCGCGGCCCGGGTTCGATTCCCGGTCAGGGAACTACTGTTTTGCTTTGTCTGAATGTATGCACACTATTATAAGAATGTATTTAAATACATTCAATACAATTCATCATTAAAAAAAAATTCTTCCCCATATATTTATTTCCTCACCCTTGTATTTATTTTCTCCCTCACCCATTGTTTTTCTCCCCCATGTATTTCTTTCTCCCCCACTGATACCCTGTGTATTGTTTTATATGTTTCTCAGGGTAAAACTAAAGTATATATTTATTTTTTTCACCCACCAATGTTTTTCCTCCCGTATGTCCCTTCAGGGTCTCCGTAATACTCAGTACAGCAATAAAAGCAAACACATAATAAAAGTGAGGTGATACAAAAACCATGAAAACCCGACAGATGTCGCATCATCAGAATATGATCGATATTACAGTGACAGCATTGGTAATACTGCTGATACAGTCACAGATCAATCCCAGATCAATCACAGATCGATCATTAAGGCTGCTGGTACAGTACAGATGCTCTCTGCTCGGTGGATCTTCATCTTCCCTCCTCTGCAGAGAGATTGCGTGTCGGTGCTGCTGCAGAGAAATACGTCAAGTTTCACACATTCAACAGGAAGACAGTCCCTTCCCTTCAAAATAAAAGAAAACTAAAGCCAGACCAACAACCTGCAGGTGGAAGCTCCCAGTGGGACGACGAATGCACTGAGCATTTGTATTAAATATGAAGTTAAATGTAAACAGATTCAACAGCTTCAGTGTACTTTGTCATGTTAGTAGGGGTAACCAATAATTTCACATTTTTGTATTTTATAAAGAAGTTCATAACCTGTAGTTTTTACAGACCTGAGGGTAAGACAGGTCAAACTGTAGTGAGCAAATATAGATTCATATTCAATAGGTCTGAGGTAATCTATTACTATTGTTAACAACAACAAACAGAAATTCTGATTCTACAAATATTAAATTACTTTTAAGTTCAATAAAAACTTCACCAATAAACTTTAGTTTTCATAAAACATAAAGACTATCACTCATTTTGCATAAATAAATTATTATTAATTTCTCGGCTGTAATTGAATTAGCACGACAAATTATAATAATGTAAATTCACCATTATTGGCTGATAATAGGTTTAATAGGACAGATACATTAAGTCTGTATGATTATTATTACAAAAATGTAGTTGATTTATGTAATTGAATCATGTTATTATAATATAATAATAACGTAATAATAATCTATACTACATTACAGTATAGAACAATCTAATATATACCTAGTAAGTAGTGTTTTATATGTTCTTTGTGGGTCTTTTGTGTCAACTATGTTGCCATTTTTAACCCTACATAGTTGAAGAAGAAACCCAAGCTCTTATTCTGAAAACCTGGACGGAAACGCGTTTGATTCCCGCGCCGCTAGCTTTGTCGCTCGGTGCCGCTGCAGCCTCCGGTCGTCAGCAGAGACTCACCGCTCCGGTTCCTGCTCCTACAAATGCCACCGGACACCGACAGCGGCCTCGGACCGGACGGACGGACAGCGGCGGCGGCGGCGGGACCGCGACCCACGGGACTCACCGGGAAACATGGCGGCGGGAACAACAACCTGCTCGGTACCGGAGCGACGATAAATCCGAGAGGAACGACGCGGTTGGCGGGCTGATAACGGAGGAGCATCACTTTCCACAGGTCAACGAATATCAGCGTAAAAACACGTCTATCTATCTATCTATCTATCTATTAATCTATCTATCTATCTATCTGTCTATCTATCTATTGATCAATCTATTGATCAATGCATTTATTCCCATCATGCTCCGGTGCTGATCCTGTGTCACTTTGCTCTCTGACGATGGCCTATATGTAAATAAATAAATATATCATCTGTAATTCAGTAATTCTTATGTTCTGTATCAACTGTTAATTATAGATTCTGAAATACAGAAATATTTTATTTAATCTGTTTCTTCTCTCCTGTTCAGATCTTTAACAAACACAACAATAATAGAATATTGATGATAACAACGCACATAATAATCAATAATAAAACTGATAACTGCCGCACACTTCAGAGCGTTTACTGAACGTGGGATAAATGAAAACTTGTTGTTCACACAGGTTCAGAAGGGAATTCAGACCATCAATAAAAACACCGATCACACCGATCAGAAACATGTTAATTTCCTGTGGTATGGCGTTCCCAGCGTGCACCACTTCCTTCATGTTTCGATGGCGTTTACTAAATACTCGCTGTTTTTTCTTTCCGGCTCTTCGCGAAGGCGTTTAAGCGTCTCTGTGTCCCGCTGAACACCGCCACCTGCTGACGTAAATGTGTGACAGATTATTGGTCATCAATGCAGATCGGCTGTTATTGGACCTGCTGCGATATGTAACGATGCCCAAGAGAATCGCGATTTATTGCAATTTATTAAAAACATAATCGAAGAAACTGAATATTAAATAACATGACTGTATGTGAGCGAGGTTTTTAAAGTCACTTGTGATCCTGATCATTCCAATTCAGCACACTGAAAACTCCTAATATAAGCCTGTTCACTGAACTCACCGTGCCTTTATCGGGGACGGGCCTTTA